GTGCAACTCGCCATCATTAGTCTGGTATTCGTCGACCCCTTACCATAAACCTTCCACTTGGGTGTAGTAGAGCGCAGTTGAGGTGAAACATTACAATCAACAAACTAGAACCTACCCTCCATTTATAGCACGTGACACTTCCGTTCCTATTAACATTTTCAGAGCGTTCAAAGATTTATAATCTTTAATTATGTAGTCGAAAAGAATATTTTTTAAACATTTAGATACACTGAGAATAAAATGTAAAAATCATATTCTGGAAGGCCTGGTAAAACTATGTAGAATTAAGAAAAAAACATGGGTCGAATATTTGTGCTTATAGACATTAAAAAGCAATACATATTTAGTGTCAAAGAATTATGATTACAAAAGAAGCAAGCAAAAATATTTGAGTACGAAAACTAAAATAACCCATGAATTGAGAGATAACTAAAGGTTTATATGTATCTCGCTTTATAGGTGGTGCTGGCAGAAGAGAACTCGTTCGCCTCTTACTACCCTCATCCTGGTCGGTTCACCCACGGCAGCTCCCCGCTGAGAAGCTGGCTCGCGCGACAAACCTCGCGTCACCGCTCAGCGTCTATGCTGTCCGAATCAATTCACAGGACATAGCTTGATGTGTACGACGTATCATCATATACTGCTATAGACCTACTAGAGATCGACTTTACGATAGAGGGGTGCAACTAGACTGAAATGGTGGTATAAATGGGGAAGGAGCTAAGGTCGGGTGGCATTATTATACATTATTTGTCCAAATCCTATATTTTGGTTTTCTACAATGCAAAGCTTTGGTTGAGTAATCATACCAACACATATTTGATGCACTATTGGAATGCATCGCAGAATGCCCCCTTTCCTACCCCCCCCCCTTCCACACACACTTTCTCTCTCTCTCCCTCTCTCCCTCTGTCTCTTCTCGCTTTCTCCCTCATTGACCTATTTATTGTGGCGAATCCAGAAAATATTAAAAAGGGCGTTTGTGCCTAATCTCCCCTACCCTGGAATAACAAATGTCATGAAAGTTAGATCATATTAAACATGAATCAGTTGAATAATATTATGTATCAACATGTACATGTATAATCATATGTTAACATTTGTTTATTATTATTTATTATATTAAAAACGATATTTTGTAAGTTCTATTATAAAAAAAATGTTCTTTAACCTACAGATAGGCCTATGCCAATACAAGGGGTAAAAATTGACGAGAGCAATAACTGATTATTTCCTTTAAAATAATTTAAATGAAACCCTTTTTTCTACCATACCATTCAAAGTACTTATGTTGAATCTTCGAAATTTGAAAAAACCGATGCATTTATGAAAATAAGTTATGGATTCAAAGCGACAGAAAAAAATAATAAAAATGGAACAGTTCAAGAAAGAGAGTGGGATAGATTACAGGCATGAGTACAACCTATAATGTGTAAACCTATATGTTATATAATTTTTCGATAATTTATCATCTATTTGATCAGACGTGAATTTTGTGAAAAGACCATATTTGTACAAGGGCTGCTTTGTGCTCTGTAAATCCAGATGGTGCTCTTAATTAGTAATGCTCAATGTGTAAATAAATTGACGGCATTTCCGAGGAACTTAAAACTCGAAAAGCCATTTAAAAAACATGAAATACGCAATCTAAAAATCAACATGTTCACATTTGTGTGTCCTTCGCAAAAAAAGTAAGATCGTGAAGATAAATCGAGTAATTGTGTAGAGTTTCATTATTACTTGAAATGTATATTTACATAATGACTGTATAGTCAATATTTATTATGTTATAGTACAGGATATTCGAACTAATGTTCTAAAACTTACGTAGCTTTTCCACGTGACATGTTTGTTGTATTTTTTGCCATCGTATGTTCATCCTGTTTGTTTTGTAAAAGTATTATTATGTGCATCATTGTTTTGCCATGTTTTGTCCTGTGTATACAGGCAGTAGTCTAGGTATGAATGGAGTTATTTTACGTGCTTTAACTTGTTATATTCAATAAATAAAGTATATGACAATAACAAAGTGACTACAATAGTGCAAAGCCTATAACACCAAATGAAAATTCGCAGTCGGTATACTACCATCTTTCAGCAAAAAAATCTATATCAAAAGAAAGCTTCTTTGAAATGGATGTGATATGAATAGCTAAATAGTACAGGCTACCCCGTTTCCCTTTTTGATTTGAGTGTATGTTTGCGGGCGACCCCGATGTAGCGAGCGAGCGAGCGAGCCCAAGCTCCGTATCATGAAGCGGAGACGCACCGAGCATCACAGGAGGAGCCCCGGCAGCCGTTTGATGTAGCGTACCGATGTTTGGACAACGTGCTAGGCCAAACACTCTACAACACTGTCAACGGGACATCAATAGCCCTGAACTTCTGCCCCCCTTAACAAACCAAACTCCTCCTTATTCTACTCCTCCTCCTCCTCCTCCTCCTACTTCTCACATGCCCTCCATCTACCTTCCAATATCCCCCGTTTGCATTCCTATCCATTGGTTACAGGCTATTCCCTCTCTTATAATATCTCGGCGTAATAAAATTTAAACTTTTCTTGCATCGTTTATAAAAAAAACGCGCATTGAAACATGTTTATTAAACAGACTGATAAAGTACTTATAATAGTGATTAAACATGGCGCCGCGCATTAGCCCCAAGACTCCTTAATAAACCTTCTCCTATCCACTCTCCCCGCCCTTTCTTGAACTCGTGGAAGCAACCCTTCTAATAGACATATAGATAAACAACTTTTAGCTTTCTGCAGTAGTTTACACGTCTAAATGTACTTTAACCTATCCGCGTAAAGTACCTGACAATGACAATAGAAAAGATGTCAGGAAGCGAACCTCTGTCCACCAATATGAAGAAACAACCCTTGGCGAAACACAATAGGTCCCTCTGGTATCACTCCTTGTTTGTCGGAAGGGGCGACTCTGTCTAGCGATACTATCCGAGTTGTGTTACGGTCGAGTTTAAACAGTGAAACTAAACAAATACTTATTGAGCACAATGTCACGACTGCACAAGAAAGCTCAGAAAGACCAGCTTAAATATAAACCATTCTCTCCATTTATATATTATATTCAACCTCGTTTCCAAGATTATTTTGTGAATATTTTGTGTGGAAAAGGACTTAATATTGACTAATCGTGTATGTTACTATTGACATTGGGGCAGAGGACGGGGGATCAAAAGTACACAACACCCTCTATCGGCTTCCCTCTCAGGGTGGGCGGCATCCTAAAACCACGCAAAAAAACACCACACGTTATGTTCCTGAATGCTTACTAAAACGCAATGCATGGTCGGCAAATAACACAAAGATTAATAAAGAATGAAAGTATCGGTTCATGAGTTAAGGATACATAAATGACAAACAGAAAGAAGGGAGAGAATTTTAGAGCTCTTTTCTAACTTGCTGATTGGTAGGTTTTACACGGTCTCTACATTGGCTGCAGATTGAAGCATGGAGCTGAATAGACAGACATCATACATGCATGTGAGTGGGTAGAATCTGTTCAATATTACGACGAATATGAAATGTGTTGGAGAAATACTGAACACCTAAATAAGCAGGAAAAAGTTTGACTTTTGACAATCGAAAAAAATACATTTTTTATGCAAGTACGCAATCGGATCGGAATGCATGTCAACATAACCCTGGTCTGCGGCGAGTGTACTTTTGTGACAAGTCGGTTTTGACTTCCTGCACAGACGTAGAAATCATGACAAATGTATCGAGCTTTCTTGCCATTCAAACTCCTTTCGAAAACACGAATTCATGTCAGCCTCGGATGGGTCTGAAGCTAGCCGACACATTCACATTTTAGTAAGCGGACAATCCCGACCAATGCTCGCGACAATCATGGCGTAAATCGTTGATAGATGAGCAGTGTGCGCTACACTGTCACTTGCGCTTTAAATCGACAATCCTTTTGGCTTTTCTTTCTGTCGTTTCCTCACTTTTCCATCAGACATCATTGTTTTGATGAATGTTACAAATTTCTCTTCTATCATCTCCTGACCTGGGTTGACGTGGTCCATTGAATAACCATTGTGCACGGGTTTGCATGCATGGCGTGGTGATCTGAGTGAGTGCTATACAATTAGAGGGTAGATCTAACACACACTTGTGTGTACCTCGCCAATTTTCCACTAATATTTTTTGCCGATCTCACACAAGATAGAAAAATATGATAATAGCTGCTCATTGGCTTGAGACAATTATAACAGACAAAATAAACGAAAATTAGGGTTCTCTTCCTTGTTTCTCTCTCTCTCTATTCCTGTCACTCAAAATCAAGTACACACAACGTGAAGCCCCTTTTCCAGACACAATTTTTTCAGAGAAATTCAAATCCAGTATTTAATCCCATAACTCAAATTATTGAGTAATTTTCTTATATCAAAAGCTAAAGGACACATTTTGAATCCATCTAAGACCAAAATGATATACTTCTCCTAGTTTACATGATTCTTATCTTGTACATCTAAACATTACCCAAACCAAATTTCTCTCATAAAAACAACCCCATTGTTAAACGGTGCCCCATGTTCCGTATCTTAAAGCGGCTACGCCAATATGGCTCTCCGTATACGGCCCATTTCATCCGTGCCCCTCCCAAAATCGATGCTTGTAACTATCACCCTTATAACCTTGGGCGCCTATTCAATATGCGTATGAGACGATTTCAGCACAAGCAATAAATAATAAGAAATCAAAAAGGGGGTGGCAGTCTTGGTTGTCGTTTACGGTGATGAAATTACAAGTCACCTTGACTTTAAAAGACAAGAACAATCTTTAAATAATTCTCGTTCCATTTCAAGCCTCACTGAAAAATTAATGGCGTGGTTTACTCCTGGTTATTTTAAATCTTTCTGCGTCGGCCTTGGCGGTATTTTTACTTTATTATATTCAATTCTTTGGCAACGTAAACAGATATGTTCCGGCACATTATGCAGTTTTCAAACTCCATATTTAAAAATGCAATCACTTCCAGTCAATAGAATCAAGGTCGATAAGATGGTAGAAGTTTCGAACTGCATGCATGATTTCTAGCAGTAAATCATTTTTATCGATTCTCTCATTGTAAGATTCATATTTTGTATTGGTGTGCTGGTACAACTGCCAGTATATTTTGCAACATGTGGGACTGACATGAAACTGTCCTTGTTTTTCGGTAAGAAAGCAATGACCCATGTTTGACCACAGCCCACCTGTTCTCTCTTCTCGTTCCGTGTTTTCACTTTGTCTCCATTCGTTCTCTCTCTCCCTCTATGAAACGGGGAAAACTAAGAAAAAGCAAATACACATAGGACGAGTGTTGCACGTCCCGACTTTTGTATCGTTCTCTCTCTCTCTCTCTCTCATAGAAACCCATTTCTCCCCTATATTTTCTGACTCCAAAGTGCATTTTGTGCACGACCGCCCTTGAACCTGTGTATTTGTTGGTCTCCATCACTAAGGTGAGATAGAGAGATAGAGAAAGGGGAAGCATTGCAACAGTTTCGCTTTTATGCCAACTGTACGAGCGCTGATAGCGATCGATAGGTATGAATAAAAGCGACACCTTCGCCAATTCTTGATTTGAGTTGTTTGTTTCCCTCGTGTACACAGTTGGATGATAAACAACAATTTGTTTGTGAATTGTATCGATGGAATTCAAACCCTCGTGTTGTAGGGTACTCGATCTACTGACAGGATTTCTATACGTATAATTTTCAAAGAACATGCCCATAATTATCTCCCAAACTCAGGTCTATACAGACGAATCAAATCTATTGATAAATCGGCATTTTAAAGACCGTACGATGTACAGCAAGTCAATGTATGCAGTACTTGAGCGTTGATAAACCCGTTGAATGCAACTACGTTGAGGCAACCCTCTCTATCAAAACCATGGCAAACGCGTTAAAACATGGATTTTATGAAACACCAAGAACGGTTGTTTTGCAGATTATTTGAATATATAATGGCACACGCCCTTGTAAGTCAATCAAATTATCCAATCCATGAATTTTACGAATAAATATTTGAACAAACCACGGTGATATTATTGAAGGTAATACATTAATATATTACAGATCCATCTTTCGATTTCAACATTCAAAACAATATATGCCTGAACTTTTCAGGATGCTTTTTCTCACGCATTTTTAAACGGGTGTTTGTACGCACAATCCAACCACTACTGTTAGCCCGTATAGGAGAAATAGTACCTTTAAAGGGAGTTTAGGTTGTAATGGGGTTTAAAGGACTTACGTTGGCACTTTGTGAGGTAGTCTTCTTTACAGATGAACTGATTTTCATCGACCACGTAAAGCTCTTCGCCCGTAGAGAGTTGCTTTCGACATACCATACATGTGAAGCAGTTGAGATGGAATACTTTACTACGAGCTCTCCGCACCAGATCACTAGGTAAGATTCCTTGAAGACATCCTGCGCACTTTGTCCCGTATCGTCTGTAACAAGAAGAAACAAATCCATTGGTTAAACGACATGGTACATTATAGAAGGATCTTACTTTTTAATCACCTATCCTGTTATCCTTGTGTTTCAAAGTAAAAGTGACTGTTTGACAAATGAAATTGATATAACTTATTGTTAAACCTATTTTACTATTTAGTCTACTTGAAAATCAGTGCCACTATATTAACAAATACAACGCACTTTTCATTATTCGTTTTGATTACCAATATTTGTAACCCTTGCTGTCTTTCCCCGCCATTTTTAGTCTTGACCTACAAACTCAGCAGTACGCCAAACAATTACCATGGTAACAGCCGGTGAGCCGTGGTCCGCTCTCATGCTTGACCCCATGCTATGGTGCGTATTTACATGGCTATCGGAGCCTTTAATCTCATGAAGATATCATCATTCATCAACTACAAACATTCTCACACCCCGCTAATTAACACCCTCCACTCGACATCAACAAATACTGATTTGTTAAGAGAAAAGCATCAATGTGATTTTAAAGGTAATATTGAGCTCTGGCTATGAAAGAACATTTCGAGAGAAACTGGTTAAAAGATGTTTCCAAATGTTAATTTCGCATTAAATGGGTTGTTTGGAACCCCCACGAGCCTGTATAATTTTAGGGGGAAACTAAATTATGAAAGCACAACAATTATATTCATTTATGGAACTACATGTACTGTACGAGATATAGTTTGGTCGAGGCTACTAGCTCAAATTCACAACTTTTATTTGCTCATTACTATAAAGTTAGTTTACACTTTCTATTTGTAATATGGTAGACTTTCACCTTTGTAAAGTTGTGTTCGATCGTGTGATAATTTTTCGTCATTTCCACAACACGACTTCAAAATGCGGTTGTTCAAGAAACAATGACGATGATAACAGCCAATGCATAGCACATGAATACAAGATACATGCATGGTCGACGACTACGATATAACATGCTAAGACTTCGGAACAAGTTTGATCACTTTTTGATAGAAAATAGTGAGGCTGTCACATCTAAAGTGAGAGGTATGGCGATGCACTTTCATTGTTTTACTACTGAATCTCACAGTCACGAAGCCTGACTCGAACGACTTCCCTCAAAGCATCGCCGAAACATAGAAATCAACTTATGATGTCACGTGACCGCTACTTTGCCCCCAAATCCCTCTAGATTTAAAGGGATTTGGTCATTATTTATCCTCACATGCTTCTGGATTCATGCTTTATTCAAAATGGCGTCAGGGTCGAGAGGGTGCATGTATCTGTTTGTTTTACCTGCTGGTAGGCAGCTATAAGAAGTGTATTGAACCAATATCAATATAAATGGGTACCTGATTTGGTTTAAATTGTTTGTAAAATGGATGACATGATTGTATCACTGTAAAGAAGGTCGATTCAAGAGAGGCGATCTGACGGAAAAATCATAAATATGTCACTTGATTTCAAATCATTCAAAGCAAGGATTTTCAAGAACATTTATATGATTAACCTCTGACGTTCGGCTTCGTTCACTGTCATTTTCTTTTGTTTTATGGGGAAATACCAACACCAGAAGTTCATTGCACTTACATTTCATTCATTCATTCATTAACAGTCTACATCTACAGTATGTCTTATTTTAGGTCTACTGTGTTTCCTTCAGTTCGAAGGAGATTTACTACATCGAAAACAGCGAGAAAATCATACTATTTGAATATGACATAATTGACCTTAGAATGATCTGTGGGTAGTTGCGTTACTGGAAAGTTGCATTTCCTTCTACCTTCCATAATTCCTTCCTCTTTACATGTTTCTTCTTCTTTTATCTCTCCCTCTGCATGTTATGCCAGTGCCATGCATTAGTAAGACTGACAACTTAACTTCTAAACGTGTTTATTCATAGCAGAGCTTACACACTTTTTGAATAAAGAAAAGGTGAAATAGAGGTTTATTATGGCAGTATCTGACTACCACTACGCACGCCCACCATACAAGGGCGAAACATCAACACCCTCACTCCAACCGCTTTTGAGAAAAACACCGACCTAACTCCTCCGTTTTATAAGCTGCACCCCACACGGGTTCCCCTCCTCCGCTATGGTGATGCCCTCAATGGTGTTAACAAACACCAAAGATGTTATCATTTCTACATCATTTCATCCACTGGTATGCGCACTTAACACCCACCACCTTCCAAGGCCCGGTCTGCATTACAAAATCGGCTAATAACGTGTTAACCCTGATTCTTTTCCATAAACGAAAGAAATATCTGGTATAATATTCAGTATAAAATGTAAGACAAATAATTTTTGTAGAAACAGTTCGTAACGCCCCTATTGCCAAAGACACTTTTCGGTTGGTGCCCTACATGCATGTTGGATCAACAAATAATCGAGAGTTTTCGCTTTAATGATGTAGGTTCACACCATTTTTATTATAGTATACTAGCATACACGGTGACTTAGCATTTGATACCTTGTAAAGACTTAGTTATACACGTATACATTCTAAAAGTGTAACAAGGACATTGTGCAAAATTAAAATTCAGGACAGCAACAACCCTGGAATAATACATAACTCAGCATGTCATTCAACATGTACATGTAGCATAGAGAGAGAGAGAGAGAGAGAGAGGGGGGGGGGGGATGTATTCAGATATGATTTATTCACGGCATCATAACAAGGACAGAAACACTAACAACAGTTCAAACGGATGAGTGGGTCCAAAGCGTTATTTTCATTGAATGGGTTGTATGGGAGTGTACACTCCAAATCGAGTCGCTTACCAGACAATAAACGACATCATACCGGGCGTAAACACTCAACCAAAATACACCACTGCTCACTCATATGCAGTAAGCCCAGAAATAAAAACAGAAAAAGTAGAAATGAGATCAGGTAAGATCAGCCAAAAACCACAGTAGAACCGACATGATATGAGTAGACGAAGAGTTAACACAGTTGGAAACTACTGGACTCAGTCAATGTTCTCTCATTGCCAAATAGAGTTTGGGTGATATTCGTACATTATTAGTATTTCACAATACATGTATTTCTTTACTTGAACCGGTACAAACCTTCAGTTCAACAATTGTACAAAACTTCATGTAATTATCATTAAAATCAAACTCTAACATCTTTACATAATAAGCATTGTTGCTGACAATTAACATCGTCGCGGCGATCTCTTTTATCATGGGATAAGAATAAGAAACGATATTAATCACGAAATATTTGTTACTCACATCGTATTAAATTAAAATTACGATGTTTGTCATCTAGCGAGATAGCATATTTTTTAACTACAAGATATTTACATTAAACACGATATCTGAATTAACTGGAATAAACTGTAACACACACATATATCAAAATAACGATTACTGTTCAACCTCAAGGCAAATTTTCTTCCATTTTGTTCAATTTTTTGCATTTTTTAAATATCCAGTCCAAAGTTCTTCTCTTGGTTTTAGAATTTGAAAGATTTATTTATTTATTTATTACTAACAAGTTTCAATCCAAAAATATAAACTGAAAATTGTAAATATTGTTTATTTCATATTTTGTGCGTGTATGCTTATTTCAGTGCAGACTTAAAAAGGAAAAGACACGATTTATTTCAAGCTGCATGAGCAGATTTGTGAGAAAGAAACAACGCTGAAAAACCCTCTCTGGCAAAGACAAAGCAGAATGGTATCTCAAGATTGATATGGTGAGATAGATTGGATAAGAATGGTCTGTTAGGTTACACCATCTTCCAAGACACGCTCCCGGCATAGAAGATAGCTATCCCATACAGATCAGCACACTGTTCTGTGGCGTCGTTCAGATAGGGGTATACCTCTCTCTCCTCGCTCGCCTCATGAATTCATAAGTATGCCTCTAGGCATACAATTACGAAGCGGATTTAAACAAAACGGTCATTTCTGCTCTCATTTTAGATTTCCTACGTGTCGACGATTGGAAAATCAAGTGTATCTAAAGAACAAAAACTAAAAGAGCTCGATTTATTGCTGGTGTAATATCCCCATAACTATGAGCTTCTCAATTCCTAGATGTGAACGTTAATCTTGATACAAATGAACGAGTGATTGCGCCTTAGAGGCAGACTATATTTGATATTTTGTATCCTAAGCCAGCGCGGCTACCGATATAATGGTCTGCATTGGGGAAGAGTGTATGATGAATGATATTTGAATCACGACTTCAGGTCATGTGATTGGCTACTATTGTAAACATTGTCACATGATACGAGAGATGAAATTAGAGATTATGATGTCATCCGTGAATAGAAGGACACATGGACGAACCTGATAATGAAGATGATAATAAATTATACAATCATTTGTGATAAGTGACAATCGTATGGTATTATGTTGATCTGGTAAGCAATGTTTCTTATTATTATAAATGTATTTTGTGGCTGATTTTCTCTGGTGTTTTAATAACAGCGTTATTTATTTACACGAATTACAAGGAATTACTGTAAACTGTAGTAAGAAATTCAATATTGATCGCTCAATGTGATGTCTACGATTCAAAGGAAATTCAACTTTACATGTGCGTCTTTACAGAATGCTTAACCAACCTCAACTTATCTGGCTTCTAGATTTGAAACACAAACGTTGTTCAATGTAATGACTCATATAATTGAAATGTAGTTTACATAATACAAACATTGTCACGGAGAAACACGAGGAAGGGATGGTTTGAAAGAGAGAGACTTACACGTATCACATTGAGAAGAAAGATGAAGAAAGGGAGAGAGGCAGAAAGAGAGGGGAGAGGGAGTCAGAGACGTACTTCATTGGAATGGATCCTTTTCAAATGAAGATGAGCAGCTGAAGGATACAAGGATTAAACGTTACAATGCTCACTTACTTCAATTCAAATACAACACAAACACAGTAACAGAGGACATCATTTAGGCAATCGTGAGGGAAGTTTTTATTTCATTTTGTTGATTCTCTTCAGGTTTTGAAATGTTTAGGAGGAATGAGGGACTTTCTTCAGA